ATGCCAGATATGCAATTCTATAACCTTGAAATTCTCTAACGGCATCAATCACGAATACACAGGTAATGGAAACTTCAAGAAAACTAATTTTCAAGTACCGGTAATCAATATTTATTATTGTCACGCTTAATTAAAAGCAAAGTAAATCAGCGACGCGACTTCCCTGATATTGCCGTCAAATTTCATGAAGTCCCCTTCAGGTAATACTTTTGATGTTGTAAAATATTTTTTAATTTCGAAAAAGAATTGAGAATGAAAATGTGACTTGTGCAAACACATTTACTGTATTTTGGAACATATTATAATAATGAGCATATTCTAAATTGGGCCATGCTAGACCAGTGGTTCTTATTAACCATTGCATACGTTTCGCACCCTACGATATTATGCAAGCTTCCGTTGAACCCCAATGTTTTAAATAGTCAAAACCAGGGGCCAAAACCAAATAAAATAAGGAACTTCAGAGATTTAAAAGCTGAAACAGTACAGAAGTGCCATCATTTCTCTCTGAAACTTCAAATATTCAGCATGAATTCCCAACGTTTATCGTGACAACTCATATATTTCGAAAACATAAGCAGGAGGTATCCTAAAACGCCATCATGCAGAACAACATTTTTTATGAAGTGTAATGAGATTAATCATAGTTAGGTCCACAGACTTATATCTGTGAAAAACTACATATTGCTAAGATATTTTATGAGCTGAAGTTTGGATATCTGCCGTGAAATAAAGTTATTTTTACGCAAATAATAGGCTGCATAATATAAATACTTAATGGTATACAAATAGGCGCTTCAGAAGTATGTGCACCAATATGGAGGTAAATAATTTGGTTCGCCTACTTTACATCAAGTTGTGTAAGGGGACGGAAGCCTATGGGAAAGACTATCGCTGACAGTCCCGAAATCGTAATGAAACTAAAATTAGGAAAATCGGAACAAAATTATGGCCTAACCAACCCTAACCTGCTACACACAGTACAGGAGTACCTACAAATTGTTTAGAGGACTTCCATCGGACCCCTGAGACAGCCCCAACGAATCTCAAGGGTTCGATCCAACTCAGGTTAAATAAAACTGTGCTAAACAAAGAAGTCATTGTATATTAAATGATTTTCAATTTGGGAATGCGGGGAAAGATAAGATAAACAGACAGGGCAAGATGAAATAAACAGATAGGGAGAGATAAGATAAACAACGATCTGATCAGCCTCCAATTTTCACAGTTTATCACAGCTATCAAATACATAACAGATACCTAATTGTGTTCAAGATAATTATCAGCTAATCAACCAGTATTACAACTTCCTTATTAATACAGTAATAAAATTTTATTTGGCCCCTCAGGTTATGTTTTAGCTTTCAAAAAGTTATATTCATTCTTGACAAAAATATGAGAATGTAAAATGAGCGGCCATGCATGTACTGTAATCTGTACTTGGTAATATCTATTTAATGGTATCATTAGCACAATAGTAAAATTATAGTCAGAGATGGCCATAATAAACGAGAAAAACCGACACTATAATATATTATAAAGAACATAATATTTGGATATGAATATTATCAAATATTTCAAACTAGTAAATATTTAATCAGAAAATTTATAAGACAATATATGCAAATTGACCGAACTGTGTGAACAATATCGAGTAGGCCTACCCACAAATACCACTGTCCACTAAATTTGGTTATTAGTAAGTATGGTATAATTAAGAAGTGTCAGCCATAGACAAGTTCAAAGCATTGTTTTAATATGTTTTACTTCTATACATATATGAATTGAAGGTTGATGCCCATTTAGCGCGATTGTCAGTTGATGATTGTCAGTTGATGGCATAAATTATTAAAAATTAACGTGTGGTCGGTTCAGTACACTACAGAATAATGAATTAGAGTGCCTGACGCTTGCTATCTGGCTCATCCATATGCAAATGGTTTAGTTTTGACAATGTTCTGAGTCTATACAGATGGAGATAAGCTTTCCCTCAATAAACTATGCTTGTATTGAGTGAAAGAGAAAATTGGGATATTTTGCACAAATCCCCATCCAAAAATCTTCCCCACCATCGCTCAAAATAAGAAAATTAGTATATATCCAGTTAGAAATACAGACTGCGCTGGAACTTTGAATTTTTAAATCATTCCTCGACCCACTTGGATAATTACTAATTTTTTATTTCAAAACACGGTGCGCGTGTTTTTTTTTTCAAATCTCACATTTTTGCATTAGCAGGGGCTTTGTACGAAAGATCCGGAAATTATACCATCATAATATTATAAACATATTATCTGAAAAAAAATATTTGCTTTAAATCAGTTACGCATGTTTTACTAAGGTTTGATTAATGGTTACCAAGATCCTTGCACAAAAATATTATTGCAATTAACTCAAAATACACTCAAATCTTCCTACCTGTTTTATATTTTTCAAATTCACCAACAAGACAAACTTCTTAGGCATTGATATCCATCCTCCTAATGTGATGGATTAGTATTATTGCTCCAATAATACTGACCCAAGTCCCAAGCCTTTCTTGATAAGTAAGAGAAATTCAGCAGCGGCAGTATTTCGACCTCTCAAGGTCATTTATATCCCAAAGGTCAATTTTGAGTCGACATTCCATAACTTGTCCCTTGTAGTGGTATTATTACATTACAATGTCACTTTGATATCTGAAGGTCATTCAGTCAAAGGTCATTCTGAAATTTTTAAACTTGTCTCTCCAAGAAAAGATGTTGTAGTTTTCCCATATTGCGAAATCATTTTGGCCTCACAAGGTCATTCTCAGCTCTCAAGGTCAGATATCATAGATATATTCCGAAGTCATAAAACTATATCTCTAAATTAATCTAAATTTAAGAATACAATTCATCAATTAATAAAGTACACATGATTAAAGAGATTAATGCATAAAAAATCTGGCTATAATATATACAAAGCTTGACTGGTCAGAATGATAGCATATGAATCAGGCAGTAATTATGCTGCCAGGTTTTGGTCCATTGGTTTTCACGTTGAGATTATATTGAATCGTACCATTGAAGACTTCTATAAATAGATTCAAAATTTAATGGCGGAATGTAAAGTAAGCAAATAAGGGTTGGAAATAATTCAGTTCTTGTTTCAAAATGGTGGAAATTCAGAATCGATCGTTTTGATGGATTTTTTAAATTTACTATTTAACCTTTGAATAACAATATACAAAGCCATTCATATTTCAAGGCATAGAATTCGGTGATAAGTTGACCAGAAAATAGGTCAACGCAGAATAACTAAAATTTATGTAAAAACAGAAACTAAAATTGAAAACTATTCAGTTGGACTTCCTTACAAATATTAATGTTTGTGCTCCAATGAAATTTGACATAAAACACAATTTCAATGTAAAAATGACAAACATTATCGAGTTTACCATCCAACTTAATTAAGTCCAGAGTTTTCACTGCTAGGCTTTCAACCAGAACAGAACTTTGATGCAAAGAGTGAGAAGGTAATAATAAAAATGTATCCGCATAAGTATAATATAAATTACGATTATTTTTCACTCTGATTATAGATTGTCTGAATATTCTCAAAAAAAAACATCAACAATGATATAAAAACAGAATAGTAATACAAAATGCACACACATAGGAGCTACCACATTAAAGATTGTTGAATAAAATTTCCAGGTATTCTGTTGGGGTATTGGGGTACATTGAAAATTGGTTATTTTTGATAAAGTATATTCTTGCTTTTAGGATTTGATAAATTAGTCAAACTCTGATATTGTAGCAAAAAATGGTGATGCTTCTCTTTGACTCGGGGTGGTAATTCTTATTACTTATCGATCTTAAGATCGGTAAGTATATTGATAGGTATTTGTCTGTATGTATGTCTGTCTGTCTGTGTGTGTGTCTGTTAGATGAACGCGATATCTCGCGAATGCGAGGTTGAATCTGCTCCAAATTTTGCATGTGCGTACATCATATCTCGGACCAGAAGCCTATAGATTTTGGGTTGATTATGTCGTATATTTAGCGAGTTATTAACTAATTACCGATCTAAGATCGATAAGTCTTCGGTCTCCGACCGATATTCTCGTATAAAATGTTGTCATTAATTATTAAAGTGGAAATATCTATCGTTGCAAAAAGAGTTTTTTGTTTTTCTTGTAGTTATGCATGAGATAGTAAATGGGCCACACAGAATTTTTCGTGCAACAAAAGTGGGCAACGATAGAAAAAAGGCTGAGAACACCGCACTGATCAGGGAATGCACAACAAAATTATAAAATGATGGGATGACAAAATACAAATTCGAAAACATGATTCAGAGAGTACCATTTATTAGTCGATGATGATAAAAGTGCAGCATTTGATAGAATGTAATATACGCAAATGGTAACATCCAATTAATTTGGTAATTTATTATCCAATCTGTGGGCTAAAGAAGACATAACAATCAATATAAGTAATCATACTGACTTTTTTTTAACAAAGACTTAAATTTCTAATACAACTTTCCAGCAAATTCATTCGGCCTCAACAAAAATGGATATAGTACTGATAATATAGCTTTGGGCACCACTGCGAAATATCCAACTCAGCGTTTTTAAACTGTGTTCCACGAGCTTCTACGGATTGTTCCACAGAACAGAAATTAAAAATGTGACTAAAATTGAGAAACGCTGGTCTAACTGAAAGTAAACGAGGTTCCAGAAAAGCAGTCACAAATTTGAAACCTATTATTACGAGATTCCACAAAACCTTATAAACTGAAAATGAAATAAGAATTGTTACAAACAGAATTGTACAGAATTTCAAGGACACCATGAATAAGGCTTAGGGCAATCATTCAAAGAGAAGCAGAAAAAAAATTCAATTTTTCAAACCAACACTTATACATACAATTTTTGTGTAAGTTTCCTCAAAGCAAGCTCATGAGCCATTAATGAGAAGTACAAAGATTACTGATAGAATAGTTAGAACAGGGTGGTCCAAGGTTATCGGGTCCGCGGGCCACAATAGTGCCAAGAATAGGTAAACAGTGCAATACAAAACAAACACTTTTATTGCGCAAACACATAGTTATCAGTCATAGCCAATAGAATCCGCATTTAATTTTTAGTTTTCTATGATGCCTATATTGTTAGCATATATTTCCGACCAAAATGTTTAAAAGCCAGATAACAATTTAGAAAAGCACATCATTCAATTTTGCTAGTTTCCTCAGCTAGCCATAACACTATTTAATTCAGTGACATTAGTGATGACAATATGTCAAAAGATTTTTCTGAGTTATTTTATGATGAAACAACACAAAATGCGATTTTCTGATTACTCTCCGAGGTGACGTGGGCCACAGATAATGAAGCGGCGGGCCACATGTGGCACGCGGGCCTGGTTTGGACCACCCTGAGTTAGAAGCAACCAGTGCCAAATGTCTAATCGAATAGTAAGCAAGGCTGGAGACGAGTAGTTACTAGTTTCAAGTTTTTTCTACAAGTTTTCTCAAAGCGAACCAATAATAACTGAAAAGAGAAAAATTACTGATAAAATAGTTTCAAGCGATACCGTCAAATATCCATGATTCATCAATAGATATGAAAAAATATGGTTTCGCTCATGATCTTGCGAAAGTTAATCAGATTCGTCACCATCTCCAAGATAATCATCGCTTAGACTTCCAAGGGAGTTACATTTTTTGGGTTTCAGAAGACTCGCCCCCACTGGAGAGGACGCCAAATCAAACGGTGTCTTTTTATCATTATTTTGTAACAATGGGTTTGCACCTCGCTCAAGTAGAAGACGAACAATTTCATCATGGCCTTTCCAAGCTGCAGCGTGCAGTGCAGTATCTCCGAGCTTGTTTTGGGAATTTAAATCGGTGAGCGAATTCTGTACCAGCTCATCTGCCACTTCACCGTGCCCGCTATGAGCTGCCCAGTATAAAGCTGTACTTCCGCTTTTATCCTGCCCGTTAATTCCAACCCGATTCTGAAGTGATTCTCGTAGAAAATCGAGGTTTCCGCGCTTCGCTGCTTCATGAAGTGGGAAATCAATCGCTCCAGCGCTATCCTCTGACATGTAGTTGCTAGGGACGAGACCTGATTTACCCTTGCAGGTTGCCTGAAACAGAATAAATGATGATACATCTTGTAAAAAAATTTGTTTGAGAAAATGAGGATAAACATCTCTAATTTTTTATCGAAATACTTCGGTGAAGAGGGCCGCAAGTTTTGATTAGGAAAATGACTAGAAAAGCAGCCTTTTTTGGAATTTTTTCATTTTTTTCTTTAAATTCGGGCATTCGCAATTTTGTATTGCCGCCTTGATTCATAGTCAATTAACGGATGGCTAAAACCGTGCATTTTACTATTCCGTTTACATTCGAAAAAATATTTTGGAATATGGAATGTCAAATACATTCCAAATTGGGGGCAAATTCATATGGAAAATTACATAAATGACTTCATTATTTTCATGTTGATCATATCTGAAACAACATAAATATAAAGAACATTATTTCTCTGTATTGTTTGTTATCACTTGAGATATTGTATGTTTTGATCTGCTTAAATAAACCATTCTTATATAGAAATGTTCTGAATTATTCCTGCCATCAAAAATACACTATATCGAATATTTGTATTTGAAATGTATCCGACTAATTTTTAATTTTTTTGGACAGCCAGGGATAGCTTCCCTCACCTATCTTCTTTTACCAGTTGCAATCACTTTGATCAGTCACATAAATCAGTTACAAATATTCCGGCCAGGCATGCTCTATTACCTCTAACCACTATTATTCCGACCAGTTACGCATCATTAACCAATTTCATCACCTACCTTCCACCAGTTGCTATCACTTTGGTCAGTCACATAAATAATGTCCCCTTCATCAATTGACAACTCATCTTTCTGTTGCGCTTCATAAGGATACAGAGCTCGAAATGTCTTTACCATTCCTGGTTTCGGAGCTAGCCTGGGAGGGGGTGGCCTTGATTTCGAAGACATTTTTGTGGTCGTACAGGGGTTAGGTTAGTTTATAAGATTATTGTTATTTAATTGAACCTGGAAAAAGCAGAAAAATTGACAGTATTTAGAAAATTAGGCATTTGAAATTTAATGACAAAAGTACATTAAAATGTCGAGTGGTTTCTGATGGTTTTTGAAATGTGCCCGAAACTTTTATTGAACCTACAAATGCTACAATAGGTCCTAGGAAATCTGTATGACTGTGATTTAACCATGGTTTAAAAGTTCAACTTGACAAATTGATACAATATTACATAATTTTGAACTCATAACAAATATCTGTACACAAAGAAATCAAAAATTAGGAATAGTTTTTAGATTAGTTTTTCAAAGACAGCTTTTTTGAATTATTAATTTTAATGACCACTGGTTCAATAATTCATTGAAAATTAAAAACCTAAAACATTTTTATTTACCACTTCGTATTGCAATCGTTATATAAACCACTGTGTTATGAAATAGGAATCCAGCACTGAGCATTTTTTAAAAAATATTTATAAGGAAAATGACTCAAACCAAGTTCACACATACTCACTCAGAAATAGAGAAGACAAATATCTGAGCAAATTTATGATCGACCACCAAGGGCCGATGGCTATTGATGCTATATTGAATTATAGAGCTTTAGTCAGTTAAGTTAACTGCTGAGTCATTACTGCAATACTGCAAAGTCATAAATAATAAATCATATCTTCGATTTCTTTGAATTTAACTTCGCCTTTTTCTTCATACTTTGAAATCTTTTCTCTGCACTGGCGAGACTTGTGGTTGCCGCCGCTTTAGGAAACATTGAAGATTTAGAAGTAGAAATCCATGACGATGGATTTGACTTATGTGAACTTGATTTTGACGAACTCGCCATTCCTGTCGGTAAATCAGCTCCAAGAGCTTCGGCAAATGCATCCGATACAGCAAGTTTGGGCCCAACTTTTGGCATTTTAGTAGATTTATCACGCTTTTCTTTAGAAGGTAGAACCCCAGATGTAGTAGGTTTTACTTGTTTTGTTGTCGCTGATGGTTGGGGAATTGTTTTTCCACTCAAAGCAGCCCATCCAGATAACGACCCCCCAACTGATCCATTTCCAGATGACTGTAAAGTCGATTTTATTTCATTCCGCTTGAAAGGCGTTACAAAAGCTGATTTATTTTTTGGTTCGAAAGAATTATCTCGAACCAGATTAGGTCTGGCGACAGTAGAAGGCTTCGAACTAATCTGTTTTGCAACTTTCTTCGTACAAACTGAGCAATTCCATAAACAACGAGGATCATTTGCGTCTTCACTTATCGGTGGCTGATGGCAATCGCGATGATACCAGTTATGGCATTCCTGGCATTCAATCGTATTTCCTTTATCATTAGAGAAGCCTTTACAAACGACGCATGCAAGCTCGTCCATCTCAATGGCATAATCTTTATCATCTGATGCCAAAGGTGACCGTTTCGACTCGTTCCCACTTCTAAATTTGTCGTTCGATAAAAATGCTGGTGACTGGTTATCGAGACGAGACTTTTTCGAGACCTCTTGATCAAGTTCTAACAAATCTTTTTGTATTTTTTCAAATTGTCGTTTCTGGGCTGAATCTTTTTCCTTCTTCTTTGTGTCGTGTGTTTTTACAATTTTCGCTGAATGTTTCCCAGTTTTCACATTTAACGATTTGTCTATATTTGATTTAACGTCTTGTTTCTTTTTTAAACTTTGCTCAATGGCATCATCGAGCATTCGTTTCAATTTTGCCGTTGAATCTGGGCTTTTCGACCACAAATAATCGAGTGCTTTCACAAACATGGGATCTAACTCATTTGTTGCAACAGCCATTATCAATTAGAGTTTAAGACTAACTTAGAGCTAGTTATATTTGATACTGTAATACAACAACAAAATAGAGAATTTTATCAATTAGGAATGCCATTCTAAAAAAATAAGAGTTAAAACTCAAAAGACTGAGGAAAGTTCAGAGTCTAAGATCAGGAAGATAGAGCTGTAGAGAGAGGCAAAACAGGAAAGTGTTGCAGTTCAGCAGTTAGGAGAGCTTGACAAAGTATCAGGAACTTTCTCATTTCATACCTACCGCTACCTTGTTAGATTTACACTTAGACAGTTAGTTGGAACTGTGAAACAACACCAAACAGACCATGTCAGCATGTGCCCAACATTCTGTCATTCACTGTATTACAGTATTAAGACATTCCAGCAATAAGTTGTCTTTTGTTTCTCTTTTACCAGAAATTTGAAGTACTGAAGTACCTAGATCTAAAAGTCATACCGGTACCGGTATCGTACTATTCACTGATCCTTTTTTTTTGCCAAATTCAAATCCATTGCCAAATTGGATTTTTATGAAAATTATAGTTTTGGTTTATCCAAATATATATTTCAATTTTATTGCACGAGGCTCAAATTTTATTTTATTTTGTAATGTAAATAGCATGGGGTTCCATGTGATCCAGGGCTGACGGACAACTCGACTACACGGACAACTCACCAGAGACAACTCGACTACCTGGAGGCCTGGTGAGTTGTCCGTCTTTTGGCATTTTCTACGGTGGTGTTTTAGGTCTATAGAAATGCGTTTTTGATATTTTTAGTGCTCATATGTGGAGAAAAATACATAAATATGATCTAGAAAGCATTTTTATTTGTATATGTGGCTTATTTTGATCATGTTGTATGAATACAAATACAGTCTACAGACGAAATTGGAGTAACGTTAGCGAGGTTAGACTGTTGACTTATAGGACTGTGTTCGTTTAATTTTTTGAACTTTATTGGTATTAAATGTTTTGAATGAGCACTTTTAAATATATTAAAACCTTTATACTTCACAGTAACACTTAAATATTTATGAATGTGAGCTCAGTAGTCTATGGTTTCAGCAGTTTAAACTCGCCTACGGCAGTCGCCCGACAGGCCGTCAACTCACCAGTCGAGCAAACGCTCTGCGACGTGACGTCATCGATGCTCGAAGTGAAGACAACTCGACTACCGAGCAACGAGAGGCAGACAACTCACCAGTCGAGCAACCGCTCTGCGATATCGATGCTCGAGGAGACGACATTGCTTTGCAAAACGCAGACTCAAGAATTGCATAGCATTTACTTAGTGCCGACTGATATTAGTTGTAAGCCAACTCACCAATAAATTCACTCACCAATCAATTTTATTTCGGTCGCTCTGGTATAAAACAAAACAACAACAAACACAAAAGTGACAAAACGCAGAGGACTTGGAGGACGGACATAACTTAAAGACAAAGTTAAAAACGTGAAAATACGTGCCCGTCTTCCAAAAACAGTTGAATAACACAATAAAAATACACGATACAGAATCGGGCAATACCTTCAAATAAATTGATTCAATTATGCTAACACTGATCAGAGGAAGAACAGGGCAAAAATAATGTGTAATTGTGTCACACTCCACACATCTAAAAAATTAGCATATCAGTGATCTAAACATTCCCTGTTGCACCCAAACGACTGCATATGAACAAACTCACACACATAATTGTACACAATTAAAAATTAATTTCGGGCGTCTTAAACTTTCCACACAGTTAATATACTAGGGCAACTGGGCTATATATACGTACAGGAATAAGATTTCCGGCCTCGATGGTATTAAATTGTCCAATTTATTGGCTTTACGACCCTATATAGTGTTGATTGTATAGCTTGTCGTTTTGGGTCGTTGGTCCAGCTTAATGCCAATGAGTCCTGCAAATAAAATTTCATAGGGGCATATTACAGCTGCTACTTCATGGTCAGACTATGATGGCATTCCTAAACTTGTGAAATGTTTCTTCGTATATAAACAGTCAATACGTAGTTGTAGACCAATCTATCCCAGTACGGTACTTTCTGACTTTTGTTGCCAATTTACATAGATTTGTGTCTCCGTGCATGGATATCAGTGCCAGATCTCTTTCCACTTCACTCAGGTCATCATGAAGAATGTGCGTCACAATAATTTGGCTCGCCTATACAACAAGTGAGTGGTTAACCATATTTATATATGTCTTTGTACATCTTTCACTTCTTTTGTATTAACATGTTTTTTGTTTTAGGGACGCTGGAACAAGAGACCTGATCAAGCATGTCATGGCGCTGTGCTATATACCAGGTATGTTTATTACGTCCAGATTCAAATTACTGAAAAAAAAAGATGCAATCTCAAGAACTTTGCCGAATATTTTCAAAACACATGGCTATACAACAGTGTCTGGACTCCCAATGATTGGTCAGTATTCGACGTAGAAATAAGAACCAACACTCATCTGGAAGGTTGGCACCGCCATTTTAACAGTATAACTCGGAAAAATATGCCTTTTTACAGTTTAATCTCAACAATGTACGAGGTAAGTATAGGGATAGAGGCGGACGTTGTGGAGATTTTGGAAGAGAATGTTGTGGGGCGTGTCAACGGCAGGTATGCGGAAGCTAACGAGAGAGTGCAACGTGTCTGGGAACAGTTTAAGGAAGGAGAGTTATCTGTGGACTCTCTTCTTCGGAGGTGTTCAACGATCTACGGGCCGCAGTATTGCAAAGAGTAAGTATGTAACGCCTCAAATTTCCCATAACGTTTAGTATTCAAATAAAATTCATTATCCGTAACGAAAAAGAAAACAAAACCTTCCACCCATTAAATTTCCCCGTAACGTTTAGTATTCAAATATCATATTAAATTCATTATTCGTAACATAAAGTAGACATCTTTTAACCATTCTTCGGCCCAGTTTCTTTGCCAGGCGCAGCGACAGTGCCTATCTGTTCCTGGTTTTTTTCTGCAAAAAGAAATTCCAACTCAATGACTGAAACCTTGCAGTGGTGAGTTGGCTTACAACTAATATCAGTCGGCACTAAGTAAATGCTATGCAACTCTTGAGTCTGCGTTTTGCAAAGCAATGTCTTCTCCCCGAGCATCGATATCGCAGAGCGATTGCTCGACTGGTGAGTTGTCTGCCTCTCGTTGCTCGGTAGTCGAGTTGTCTTCACTTCGAGCATCGATGACGTCACGTCGCAGAGCGTTTGCTCGACTGGTGAGTTGACGGCCTGTCGGGCGACTGCCGTAGGCGAGTTTAAACTACTGAAACCATAGACTACTGAGCTCACATTCATAAATATTTAAGTGTTACTGTGAAGTATAAAGGTTTTAATATATTTAAAAATGCTCATTCAAAACATTTAATACCAATAAAGTTCAAAAAATTAAACGAACACAGTCCTATAAGTCAACAGTCTAACCTCGCTAACGTTACTCCAATTTCGTCTGTAGACTGTATTTGTATTCATACAACATGATCAAAATAAGCCACATATACAAATAAAAATGCTTTCTAGAGCATATTTATGTATTTTTCTCCACATATGAGCACTAAAAATATCAAAAACGCATTTCTATAGACCTAAAACACCACCGTAGAAAATGCCAAAAGACGGACAACTCACCAGGCCTCTAGGTAGTCGAGTTGTCTCTGGTGAGTTGTCCGTGTAGTCGAGTTGTCCGCCTCCCTGATCCAGTACCCATTAAGACATAGACTATAATTTCCATTGTCATCAGTTATATAATATACAATATAAATAGTCAATTTATCCATCATTAGCATTTTTATGAGAAACAATTTTTTTTTTTAGAATTAGATAAATAATCAGAAAAACACCTACGGTACCCTACATTTTCCATCTATGTAACCTTAAAAATAAAATAAAAAACTAGACATTTCACACAAATTAGTAAATACGGTTCACCGATTCTAACCCTCGACATATTGTGGCTCGAAATATGAACGAATATTTTTAATAGAAATGCCCCAGGTGATGAAATCGACCACAGCCAAAACAACAAAAATCTAATCTACTTTCACTTTGTGAGAAAACTGTTTGCGAGAATAATATTTTCCAGAAAAGGCGCGGAACAAAAATTCGAGAATGAACTTTTGCGCGAAAATAATTTTGCGGGCTGTAGGCTATTTGTTGACCGAAATATATTTTGCGCTCAAGTGCTTATTCGTATAGGAAAAAGTTACGGATAGTTGATAGTTATGTTCGTGATGTTATTGCTATTACTTGTCTATTTAATTACCGGTTATACCGGTACCGACTTGGAATGGTAACCGGACGAGAGGCCGTGGTTCGCCATATGGATAAGCCGTCTTATCGGCTTTCCTCTCCCCCGGGATAAATATGTAAATCCTATCCTATCCTATTTGCACCTTTACATCTACGGACATTTTTTTTTTAATATTTTTTTATTAAAAACATCACTTTTTATACACACGATAACACATAAATACAATTGCACATGAGTTTATGATACCTTACCACTTCTTTATGTGGTTCAACAGCTACCGGTACGGACATTTGCGCCCGCAGACGAATAGTTCATTAAAGTTGAAGTAACTTGAATACCTTCACTGGTCAGTTTTTTCATCGAAATAACTCGAACGCATTATTAAATCGCATATCGCAAGTAGGGGTAATATAAAGAGGTAGACTCTTCCCACGGTAGTGTTTGTTCAATACACACTGGCAGATACAAATATGTCATGAAAAATACATCGCGCATAAGTAACTAAATGCACAAGAAAGCAATGTTCAAATATACGGACACAAAATTCGCGCTTCGGTAACGATACCGTCAACAAGTGTACGGAAAAATATGCGTACAATTATACAAAGGAAGTCGAAAAGGAAGCGTTTTATTTAAACAACAGCAACAAGCATTCAACCCAACGATTTATATGTACAGTTTGTTTTTCAGCTGAAAAAAAGATATACAAATATACATGTTGGCAAACGTGCAGTTTTCATATTTTATCCAAAAAAGAGAAAGAAAGATGATACTATTATTGGATCATTTGGAGAAACAATGCTTCGGTTTATCAGTCGGGATATGTATGTACCGTGTTTCCCCGAATCTACCCTGAAAATATTACCTAGCCTGAATTTTAGGAATGATTTTAATATAAGCCCTCCCCTTAAAATAAGACCTATTCAATACCGCAAATTTTTTTTACCTGGTCGATAGCAAGAAATCTCTCCCATACGTTTTAAATGATTAATCTAAAACGTGTGAGAGTGAAAAACGTGTCATTTAAGTAAATGGATATCAGTCTTAATATTTTTTATATTTGAAAATATCCTAATTCTGTACTTTCTAATTTTGTTTTTGATAAATAAAATTATAAGACATCCCCAGAAAATAAGCCCTAGTGGTATTTTTCGAAATAAAAATTAAAATAAGACACTGTCTTATTTTCGGGGAAACACGGTATGTATGTTTATTTGCCTCAAAAATGTAACAGTATCTGCCTAATAATTAAACAGTAAAACAGAGACGGGATACATGTTCAAGACCTTACTGGCCTAAGACACAGATGTGCGACATGTACCCCTAGCAATTATAACAGCAGTTTAGGACTGCTGCGTTATACTAGGACAACAGACATGAAATTGACTATACAAATAAAAAAAATACACAAGACAAAGAGGTACGACACAACGACAATATGTACAATAGTCAGTTTATGGCATGTCCATATCCCAGGTTCCGGTGTGAAAAGATGGAGACAGGGTGGGGATCGCTGAATCGATATGTTTTTACACTATGTCTCACGAAACACGTAAAGATTTGTTAGGGATATAAACTTGCCAGAAACCAACGTTGGATGTAAAAGATAAATGTAGAAAACCTTTGTTTGAACTTGAGTTGTTAATCATATGATAATAGCTAAATAGTTTGTCGGTTGGTAAAAGTGCTAGGTGGGTAATGACAAGTGGGGAAATCTACATTGCGGTCACGAGTATGCGAACCGCACTGCGACGAGGAGAAATCCAGCAACCCTTTTGGCCGGCCTGACCTAGCGTTATGGCCAGCACGGAAATCTCTTGGCGCTTCCAGCGACTCATTTTCCATAAATGCAGTTATTGGTATAGTTATATGCTGTAAACGTAATTTGTTTTCATTTCTTGTTAATGGATAAGAGCATCAAGTGGTTCTTCAAGATAACGATTACACGTTTACCGACTCCGAACACCTCACTACAATCGCTATGGTTACCGATATCATTTGCTGATTTCTAAAAAGTTTGCCCCGTCCCTGCATTCAAAGGATTCGGTGTTCGGTAAGTGTTTGTTTTTATTGTCCAAATATAATCGAAAAAATAAGATAAAATATGAGATTTGTGTGTTGTCTGACCTGAGACATGGTGGCAAGCGCATTCTTGCAACTGTTCGGTACCGTACCGGTACCGGTATGTTCGCACTTCAGCGCTTGTCATCCTTCCATTGCACCTCGAAATATAAAAACAATGTCCCACTATAAACAATTGACTAATGTAGTTTTTTTATTGTTCATCTTTTAGGGCGCCGAGCTAGATAGGTAACCTCTTGAGGTTTCCTGTGAATAACAAGTCCATGCTTCCGAAAACAAACAAAATAACTAATCCCATACCCGACTTGGAATGGTAACCGGACGAGAGGCCGTGGTTCGCCATATGGATAAGCCGTCTTATCGGCTTTCCTCTCCCCCAGGATAAATATGTAAATCCTATCCTATCCAATGTTAGTCTTCTGTTTGTAAATGTGTCTTTGATTTTCATATGGGGATGAATAAATATTACTTACCTACTCCTGCTGGTTTTGGCTAAAGACATTAAATGAAAATGTTTGTTCTATGATTGAGCTATTTTATCAGGTTTCCCCTCCATAAAGGTATTATGAGGATTCATATCATATCCCGAGTCAATCATTAAAACTTGTTTTAATTTTGTTTTTTATAGGTCATGGAAGCTCTTCATCTAATCCCTGCTCCACTTGCAGGAAGAGAATTTCTAGCTTCATCACATTTGAGGTATTTACTGCACGTATTTTCTTCATTTATTTTAATGTGTTATCACGTAGCTCATTAGCTTAAAGCCCAATTTGAGTGTATCTCATTGTGATTTTTCATAAATATTCATGTGCTATCATCACAAGCTTTAAACTGAATTAAACAGTATCTTGTCATATTCTACACTAATATTCTATGGCACAAGGTGAAATTGCCTATGTAGTGCTGAGTATTAAAAATACGCTCGCCATTCCACTTCTGATTACCCTGCATGGGTTCGCAGGTTTGAATGCTGCAGCTGGTCGGTTACGACTTCCTCCACCATCAAATCTGTGTATCTGAAAGCAATAACTAATCCCATACCTGACACGGACTGGTAACTGAACGAGAGGCCATGGTTCGCCGTATATGACAAAGCCATTTTATTGATTTTCTTCTTCCCATGGATAAATATGTAAATTCTATGTAAATTCGGCGCGGCGGTGTGGCTCAACGGGCTAAGCGTTAGGAATACGCTCACCACCGCACCTCTAACTACTCTGCGTGGGTTCGCAGGTTCGAATCCCATGCAGGGATGGTTATGTGCGAGAGGATTGCTGGACTCCTTGCCGTCGTTGGGTGGTTCACGTAACCGCTGGTCGGTTACGGCTTCCTCCACCACCAAGTCCATGCTTCCGAAAACAAACAATACAGTAAAACTAATCCCATACCCGACTTGGAATGGTAACCGGACGAGAGGCCGTGGTTCGCCATATGGATAAGCCGTCTCATCGACTTTCCTCTCCCCCGGGATAAATATGTAAATCCTATCCTATCTATCCTGTCCTTCGTCTCGTGCATTTGTCTTAGTATTATAATATTGAAATTATCTTAAGAATCGGGAATGATGATCGTTATATACCCGAAGGTTGGAACAGCACTGTAGATACAGACTACAAACCTCCGAGCACCAAACAAAAACCTGACGCTGCTCTCCCACCGTTACCTGCTTTATTTATGCACCAAGACCAAGAGAAAATTAACACACAACTTTCAGAAACAAGGGAGCAGTTTCCAAGAAAGAAAGCGCTTACTAGTACCGACACGCGTGACAAATATTCTGCGTTGTACAAAACAAATTTCAAACCGAACTCTGATTTAAGAATCCAAACTTTCAACACCACTCATGATTATTACTACACAGCAAAACCGACATCCTTTCCCCCTGATAATACGCAGCTCGCAGTCAATTGGACGAAAAGCTCTTTTCCGCAAGGAGACAAAGAAAAAGCAGATGAACCAATCAGTACATATAGAACCGGTTTCCCTGGCCATGACACAAGCAAAATAAAAATTGAACGAGTTGGGTCGCAACATTGGGGCAATCAAGATACAATAAAAGGGGATAACGTAAGACGATTTGGGACAACGCACACCAACACGTTTCATGGCCTTTGGAGCGCACCTCCTGACCCCGTTCCGAGGCACTTTCGCTCGTCAGTTCCAGAAGGAGATAAAGAAAAGGTCACAGAGCATTCAACAACAATGAGGAAGTCTTTTACACCCCACAAAACGGACTGGAAGTCTCAAAACAGTGGAGATTCATATGCCAAGCTATACGCCACCAACTACAAGCAACGTGACGGGAAAGGAACGTTTGATAAATACCAGAGCACAGCTAAAGAGAGTTATCCTCCGATCTCCTGCGAGAGTCAAAGGTTTGCGACTTGAATGAATAATTTTATCCTATTATTGGTGTGGCAGTTGTGCATCATGCTAAGCATGAAAGAAAACGATTGCTTACATACATCTGATTATTTCTGTGCAGGTTAGCATGTTCCAATCATGCTGGGTTTAAAATTTGCGAAATGGTTGCTTAAGAGATTGCTCTTCGCCAGTGTAGGGTTGTGGTTCACGTAAATGCTTGGCAATGACAGCTTCCTTAACCATCAAGTCCATACATCTGAAACAAATAACTATCCGACCAATCCCATACACAGCATGGACTGGTAACCAGATGAGCACGGACAATATTCTATTTTTTATGATGCATTATTCACTCTAAACAAGCAGTTATTTTTTGAAATTTTTTCCAAGTAAGATGAGCTGACTATGACCATGTTAATACAATTCTTCAAATTGTTTTTATAGGGTTCACCGTTCTCGAGATCGCAATGCTAGTGACATTCCGGAGGGTGACACAGATGCAAACCGTGGCACTGAGAGAGTAAACATGACAACAACACGACGCCACCATCCTCCCATGAATGTCAGAGACGCTCGGCGAGTCGATGGTTCAAAACTACGTACAAAAAGTAACGTTTTACTCGGAGAATCTACTCTGGCAGGGAAATTCTATGACACGACTTGTGATTCGACATACCAAACTGTGAATGTGCCTCGATTCAAGGTGGGCCATCGTTATTTTTATGCCTATTTAATTGAATAGGGTGGCAACCGACTCCAATGTGTCTGTAGAGGTTGTATCGTTGCCTCCCAGTCATGTGATGAAAGCATCTTTTGGTCTGCATATAATGTTTTCTTGGTTTGACAAAATGAAATAAACGTTATCTTTTATTTTTATTCCCTCATTATGAGCAAATCTCTGTATATATATTATATGAAAAATATTTGCCTTGCATGTAAGAGTGATGCCATAATCTAACCCACTAAAAGTTACACACACACACCCTTTTTGGTGTTCGGTGCATGCAACATCCATAGCCCACAACTTGAGGGGGAAAAGGACTAAAATAATCGCGTTCAAAACTAGTACACCAAGAATATAGAGCAGGGGTTGGTATAGTTTTTGAACCAAGGAGCCAAAAATTTTGCCCATCTGGACTGACGGGCCATATAGGTGTGACGTAAAAAGTTACATTTTATGAACTATATTTACAGTGTTACGAAAGCAAACAATACGCATCGTGCCAAAATTAATTTACCGTAATCGCAATCTCAACGAATTCCTTGAGTCATTTTTAGCTAAAACATCAAAATTGGTTTCAGTTTGGTTGTGGCAGCATCATGCAGACCAGATTGAATTACCCAACGGCCGGGATTTGGCTCGCGGGCCGTACCTTGCCTATGTCTGATGTAGGGTGACACAAGACTTGAAACAATTCTAGTCAACCCCTCTCATTGGAAGTTTAAATTTTCTAGCCCTGGAATTTTGTGGTCAAGCAGGATTGACAGTTCTGTTTTTTTGTTTACCTCACAGGCCAACACATACTACCCCAGCGTTGTTCCACTCAGTTACTATGGCAACCAACGTGAATACCCGACTACCTGGAGCGACTTCCAGAACCCAAGGATTGGAAAGATGATTCCTAACCCTGTGGTAAGATCGGTTTTGTGAATGTTTCACAATAGCTGACTTTACATCTACAGGTGGATACTCACTTAGTTAACAGAGATAGTCCCCAAACTCGTAATAGAACTGAAGTTATTAAAATCTGAATAAAATTATGGCCTAACTTGGTACACATACTACGGGAGTAATGAACCTTTCCTCTCCCGGGATAAATGTGAAAATCTGATTGTATTTTGATCTTCATATTTATCCTGGAAAGAGAAAAGATGATGAGACAGCTCAATCATATGTTGAACCACTGGTTCTTGCCAAATTACCAGTCCAGATTGGGAATGGTGATAGTAATTCACCAGTTAACAAAACATTGTTGAATCCAATGCTCTATCCACCAGGCCACAGGACAAGTCAACACCCACTATTCTGGTATCTATTTAATAAGGGCAGAAATTTCAGTTTTTTAACGCTTGCTCAAAATTTATTAATGACATGTTAATGAATGATATATTTTTCTTTAGGCTCTTGATAATCTTCGCAGAACCCACATCTCTGCACCACTAGGTGGCCAATACTTTTTCTCAACGACCCACGACTCCCATTACACCCCCAAATCAATCGCAAAGTACAAAATCGACTCAGGAGCGCTTCAACGGACTTCAGTCCCTATTGGAACGCTCGGAGAATTCATTCCCGGATGCCACAATGGATGGGACTAAAACAACATATGTAAATCACAGGGTAACCCAAAAAAACAGAATTTCCTAATTAATTTCTATGAATTTCCTAATTAATTTTACAAAAATGAAGACAATTTATTCAACACTCGAACTTCTGTTTGTCTATGATCGTACCCGAAAGTTTCGTTTTGCACTATGTTATCTAAAACAGGGGTGTGCAACAGGCAGGCCTCAACCCAATCTATTAGTGCAGCCTTGTGTCAGCACTATTTTGTCATTTTCCCACTGCTTCATTATTGAAAGGCTAAGCGATAGCCGAATTCTCTCCTCTTGCCTTACTCGTGACACTCAGGATGTTGCTAATTTTTCAATTCCTTGTGTACTTAGTGAAACTAATTTTCTTTTTGTGTGGCACAGCTGGATGTCTGAAGTTTATTATATGGCCCAACAACAAAGATAATGTTGCACACCCCTACACTAGAATATGTTTCTGTTTTTTGGCTCACCCTGTTCATGTATAGAAATGCTAATACAGCAACACTTGTTAAACTAGGCAGGGTATCTCTGTGTTATATTGTGTTATTAAACTTGAGTGAATGAATACTATTTTAGATTATTTTTAATAATTTAATACTCGCTATAATTAGTTTTTTAGATGAAAGCCATAGTAGTTAGGACTTCTCAACCACATGTATGGAAATACTTTTATGGTAAGAACTTCCAAAATAACCAGAATATCCTTTATATATATATTTGTGTTGCATTATCAACATGTGTGAAAATGAAGTAATATAGTAGAAGTAGATCATCTTTAATACTCATTAGTGTTTAAGCCTTATTGAACCGTTCTATTTCTGAATCACCATTTTTGTCAAACATGTAAAATTTAGCAAGTTTAAGTTGCTTTGTAATAACTCGAAATTATTTTATAGCGCTTTTCTGAGATTCTTAAAGTCGCCGCATTTCAAGTATTCCTTCTGCAAGCACTTTTGTGAAACCCAAGCCATAATTTTGCACTCTTGTCCAATATATACTTCTCACGCTTATTGCTATTTAAATTTGACAAATATGCTATTTTTGCTATTTTATTTAACAGATATTCAGTTTTGGCTATTTTATTCATTTCTACATGTATCGCTAAATTTTTTATAAAATGTCAAAGTTTATCAAGTTGAAATACCTTTTTGATCACTTGAAATGATTTTTAATTCCATTTTCTGAGATTTTCAAAGTCGATATGTTTATTATTCATTTTTCCTTCACTTCTATGACATTTAAGCCATAATTTTGCACTTAATTCTTGTGGTTTATATGCAAAACAATCTAATTGAATGAATTTTCATTCTATTTGATGTTAAACATCTTGGCATCAGGGGCATAGCCGGGGGTGGTTGAGGGTCAGGCCCCCACCCCTTCCCTTTTGAAATAAAGAAAATCAACGCACGCACATATACACATTTTCTGTATCAAACATAGTAATTTTTCATTGCTTGAAATGCTTTTAAGACCCTCAAGGCACCTGAAAACCGATGTTCTCCTGCTAGCTGTTACAGTATAACCTGACAATTCAAAATTTCAGAACCGTCCCAACCTATGTTTTCCGGCCTGGCCCACTAGACGTTATGGTCTAATTTGACAACTAGTAATTTTAAACCCCCCTCTTTTGAAAATTCTTGGCTACACCCGATTGGCATAATCCTATACTGCTTTTCATCATGTTCCAACAACTCATTTAAGTTCTTTGTGCAGTTCTAATTATTTTTCAGTCTGTTGGTGTAACTAACTAGCAAAGTAATAACTTTAATGGCTATTTTTGATTTTCTCATGCATTCATTTCTCAGTTCACCTGCACTTAAATGACATTTAAGCCATAATTTTGCACTCTTGTCCAATATCAAATTATTACGCTTTATATGCAAAACCTCTCCGTCTAAATCTTGCGAATCCTATGTTTCATTTTACTTTTGAACTATAATTTTAAAAAAAAGTTTAAATTTTTAGTGAGTTCTTTTATATTAATTAAAACCATTTCCGTCTATTTACTGTGATACAAATGATGCACTTCAAGTTTTTAATCGTAAACAGCATATTTTGAGAATTTTTGAATTCGATTATAATTTTATGACGTTTTCAGATATTGCCTTTCACTATATCGATTCAGCTTGCATTACTTGGTACTCCCAAAGTATGTGAACCAAGATGGCAGGCACCGGAAAGTACTATGTGTGCCGTACCACGTCAGGCCATATATATAGGCCCCAAACTCGTACTAGAACTAAAATAGGGAGAAGTGGAATAAACTTATGCCCTAACCCTAACCTGGTACACATACTACATTCTGGTGCCCGTCATCTTGGTTCACATACTACGGGAGTACCCATTTTATAACTGATTCAATTTGTTTTTAATATATTATGCACTTAATTGTTTTATCAGTTTTAAATATTCCAAGTGAAGCCATAATTATAATTTGATCTTCGGTTTTATCATTTTGATGCTTTTCTAGTTTCTGTCGTAACTTTAGACTTCAAGAAACTCCTTTAAAAATCTGAAAATCAGACTCCAGAGATGGGGTAGACTCACAACCCACACGGGGTAGGCCCTGGACTTGCTAGCTGTTATAGTCAAATTTAGCGACTAAAAATCCCAGAATCCTTCCACTTTTCGAAATTTCTGGTTGCGCCCCTGTCCCGAGAGACTGGAAATTCTCCTCTTAATTTCAGTTAGTTGAAATTACGACTCCTCTGTGATTATAAAAATATGCCAAAATCTGACTCAATAGCAAAAACCTTTAAAAAAAAAAAAATTTGGTAAAATGGATTCCAGTTCCCACAATCAGAGTTCATTCGACTTCAGTTACCTTCAAAAATCTAAATCCAGACTCAAGAAAGACTGAAAATTTACCTCTAGAGCTCCAGTGAGTTGAAAATACAACTATTCAGTCACTATAAAAATTGTCAACTTCTGACTAAATAGCAATAACTTGTATATGCCCTGGTCAAAAACGATTCCGGTCTCCGAGATTAGAGTTCATTTTCATTTACAGTTAATATCTGATTTTTCAAATAATTGCAAAGTTCCTAAATAAGCACACATCACATGAAAAGCGATCCCGCTTCTCAAGTTCCAAGTATATTTTTCAAATATTGTTCATTTCCACTCACCATAATGAATTCTGATTGCATTTTTGACTGGCTTGTTTATCTTTTGTTGGACTGTGATGACATGCACTTAATTGCTTCAACATTTTATGCTCGTTCATGTATTCAAGTAAAGCCATAATTTATGTATAGTTTTTGGCTTCTGTGTTGGGGTATTGGGCTGGCACTCGATGAGGCAAGTGCAGTTTTAAGTATTTTGCGGCGTCTGAAGCTGCCGCAAAACCATAGTGGGATTTCCAAACCATGGCGGCCGACTTTTTAGCTGCCACAAACAAATGGTGTGATGCAGGGTGCCACAGCAGCAGATTGAAAACCATGGCGGGTAAAATTGTGTTGCCACAAACCAAGGTATGTAGGCTGTAATGGCAGGATTGTCCCAGATGGTGACAAACTTTGAGTAAGTAAAGTAACATTTTCTTCATGGAAAAGTTTTGATGGATTTGGGGTTAGGTTTCAGGTTTGAGTGGACATAATCCCGCACGATAAACTAAAATCCGGTACATGACTTTGGGAATATATCAATGCTACCGTCATAAAACCATGGCAAGAGATGGCGCGGTTCGTCCGTGACGGCAGCCACCATGAATTGGTAAAAACTGCGGCTCTGATGATGTGACGCTGATGTTTTTAAAGTCCCATATTAAATTAGGCAAAAGAGCTCGGTGCATCAAGCTAAGCATTAGGAATACACTCACCACCGCACTTTCGATTACGCTACATGGGTGCGCACCTTCGAATCCCATGGAGGAAAATGTGTGGGAGGATTGCTGGACTCCTCGTCACCATGGGGCACTTACTGGTCGGTTACAGCTTCCTCCACCATCAAGTCAAGCATCTGAAACAAAAAACTAGACAACTAATCCCATACCCAGCATGGACTGGTAAAAGAACGAGAGGCCGTGGTGCACCATATTTAAGCTGTCTTATCATTTTTCTTCCGCTAGTCAAATTCACAACTTTAAGCTCTGAACGATGTAGCCAAGTCCAATCAAAGTCCCAAGCCATCTTGACCAATCCCGCTGTACCATACCTTAAACCTTCTCATCAAAATTTTCTCATCTGAACTTATATTAAATCATATCACACACAAAAAATATGGAACAAATCTACGACCAATTGAAGATAACCTATGTAGCCAAGTTTTTTTAAACTTCCCCAACGAAAGGTTGCAAGCATTTACTCTCAGAAATAAAGGTGGCTCATTTATGAGCAAAGTTACAAGCGGTCACTGAAATAACATGAGCGCTACTGAAGTCATATAGAATTATGATGGACAATACTCGACTCACTCAGAAGTGAGGTATATTCTACAATTTGGATCATTGATAACAATATTGAAGTTTGGAATTTTAATGTTTTTCAAATTTTGGGGGTATAACATCAATAAACACAAAAATTTCTGAAGTGGGGTCCAAATACTCTTATAGTAGGGGGGCGGGGGTTGAACAAAAAACAATATGCAAATTTTTAAAGGGGGGTCCAATATTCTTGAAATATGGGGGGGGGATAACACCGAAAAACATGGGAATTTTTAAAGGGGGGTCTTAATGTAGATTAGCGCCAGGGTGGATTCAGTCCATGGAAAAGCCATCCATATCGTTTCTTGTATGAATACTTGCGCGCTGGTTCCTCTGCAAGCCAATAGAACTTATCATTTGTCTTCGTTCTTGAGTAATTGAAGTTATCTGTTGCCCAATGGACCCATTTTGGATACCATAACTCTTCAACCGGCGTGATTTGGTGATTTATAAGCTTATTGATGTTCTGAGGATCCGCCAGGTAGTCGTTATACCTCATCAAGATGGCTCGATGGCTGTCCCATTTGCTTTCCTTTTCCTGGATAGAAATGTAAGAAGGGTTTAATATTTACACTAAAAAGGAAAGCAGATAAGGACTTTATAATAGTATGGGGGTGGTCTTGGAATATGCTTGCCACCGCACCTCTGATATTATCTGACATGGGGTCGCGGGTTCAAATCCCATATGGGGTTAAATATGTGCGAGAGGATTATTGGACTCCTCCTCGCCGCAGGGTGGTTCATGTATCTACTAGTCGATTACGGCTTCCTCTACCATCAAGTCCATGCATCTGAAAACAAATAACCGGCTAACTAATCCCATACCCAACATGGACTGATAACCAGACGAGAGGGCATGATTCGCCATAAGATTAAGCCATCTTATCAATATTCCTCTCCATCAGGATAAATATGTGGATCACCATCAAGAATAAGCGAACAACAGTCCGCTGGCAGCATGTATCACGCCAAATCATTTTAAGCAGCCCCCTGTTCTTGAAAAAGTTTTGAAAATTTCATATTACTCGTACAAAATTTTGATTTATGGTGCTCCTGAAGTATGCGCACCAAGATGTCGCACAACCTGAACCCTAACCTGGTACACAACCTGAGTTCAGGTTTTGCGCTATCTTGGTGCACATGCTTCAGGAGGTCCAGATTTATTTTAAAAATCTAACCCAGCGCAATACTCTCAAATCTGCAAGTATTTATTTACTTAGCAGTAGCTGCAAAATGACGTACAAATACATTATACAAAAAATCACTTGAGCTAACCTGTAATGTTGGCATATCATCCAAGTCAAGAATAATGTCATCAACAGCTTCTGGTTTCGTCCAATCAAATCTCAGGACTTTGGTTCCAGCTGTTGGAGCACTTGGTAGATACTTCATATTGTACCTAAAAATATTTGTGATGTAATAAAGCAGTAGTTCCCAACTGTTACAATACATTTCTACCTCTGTCTATTCAGTTTCCGTTATTTAATGGATTATTAGCCATTGATACTCGTAACGTCGTATCGCACACTCTGCGCGTTTCATCAGCATGCGCGTTTCGTCAGCATCCTTGCGTCAGTGATGTGGCTAATATTTAAAACCTGGTTATATAATTACTAAGACTTCCCAAGTCCATGAGTTATAAGGATGAATGTTCCATAGTTCATTAGTATCTTCAGCGTAAGGTATCGTATTGAAATTTTAATTCTCTAATTAATTTGTGAGATGATAACAGCAATTTTCCAGTGATCAATGCGTTTTTGTTGCTGCTGCCATGGAAACAAAACATCAATCTGAACTTTGGGTAATTCACCTAACACTAGGGATAACAAATGCGAAAAATTTCACCCAGATCACCACAGCCGTTTGGAGCCGACAGCTAGACCACTGGGCCATGGCCCACTGGTGAGCCACAGAGACATTTTGGAGTGGGCCACAGACCAATTATAAATTGCAAGGGTTGTTGATTGAAAAAATTGATTCGTTAACATAATCAGCTTCACGCGTCTTGGAAAAACAATATATCCAATTGCAAAACATGCCTCGTTGTAAAAACGCATTGTGACACAACAAACACATTCCATGGTCGGAATAAAAATTCATTCTGAAATATGATCTGTTGCTATTTGTTTTTTAAGTTAGTAGTTTCTTCGAGCATAAAAAAATTAGTGGGCCGCGGGACTTTCATGCAACAAAAAGTGGGCCACGAATGAAAAAAGGTTGAGAACCACTGAGCTAGACACACAGACAACGAATAATGGTCTCCTATATCAAGGAGCGTGTATAGCCAGGAGGTGGTTTTGAGAGTCGGTACCCCCCCTCACTTTGTGATGTGAAAAAAAAATAATTATGCACCATACATAGCATTTTTCGTAATTTAAAATGTATTTTGGACATTTTCCAGCTCTGGTCACACTCGCTAGTTAGCTGTTACGATCTAACTTGACAATTAGAAATTTGAGAAAAAATCTTTGAAAAATCCTGGCTACGCCCTTCCTACAGTGGATATCTAAAAAACAAAACTTCAGCTCACCCCTCATCCATAGCTTGTAAAAACTCTAGCGGAATATGCTTTTCCCACTCTATTCCGCTTCTCTGAAGATTTTCATGACATTGTTCTGGTTCCACATCAAGATATATCACACATTGTGGTGTCAGGAGTCTGAAAAAATCAAAATTCGAATTTTTAAGTGTGTTAATGAATGCTCAATTATTCAAAACTGCTGAAGAATGTAGAAAGCTTGAAAATGAAAGAGTTGTGGTGTCCTGGTCATTAAAGTGTTGCTCCAGAAGTGTATGTACCAATATGGAGGTAACTAATTTGCTCGGCTACTTTACATAAACATTTGCAGAAAACAAATGTGCTGCAAATTTTTTTTCATTCGTTTAGTGTACCGCGAGCAAAAAAAGTTTGAGAATCACTGGTACAAGACGATTAATCATACATGGAGAACCACGGCCTCGTGTCCGGTTTCTAGTCCATGTCAGCTATGGGATTTGTTAGCCAGGTATTTGTTTTCGAAAGCTTGGGCTTGAGATCTCATTTGACAGACAATAGATCTCAAGGAGAATGTATGCCTGAAATTGAACCATATTTGGAGGCTACAAGTGTGTACGAGAATATCGGTTGGAAACCGAAGACTTATCGATCGATAGTTAGGGGACCCCCTAAAACAGAAACTGCAGTTTCGATTCATCCGCTCTTGTAACTTGCGCACTGCGCATCGCACACACACACTGGGCAGGTCTCAAAAGTCTCTCGCTTTACAAAAATCTAGATCACTATATCAATAATTGATTGATAACTTGCTAATTATACGACATAATTGGCCCAAAATCAATAGGCTTCTGGTCCGAGATAAGATGAATGCACATGCAAAATCTGGAGCAGATTCAATCTCGCTTTCGTGAGATATCGCGTGCATCTAACAGACAAACATACAGACAGACAAATACCTATCAACATACTTACCGATTAAAATCGATAAGTAATAATCCATAATTTTTGTAAAAACCTTAAACATTCCAGCTCAATTTATTACATCTTGGGGGGTGTGGAATAAGTTTTCTAATAATATCATAACCCAGCAATTTTTAGGTTTTATATACAAATCTTTACGGAAAGTAGTTGAGTAGCCCAGATCGAAAAAACAGCGCTCCAGAAGTGTGTACACCAATATGGAGGTCACTAATTAATTAATAACTCGCTAATTATATGACATAATTCATTCAAAATCAATAGGCTTCTGGTTCGACATATGATAAATGCACATGCAAAATCTGGAGCAGACTCAATCTCGCTTTCGTGAGAAATCGCGTGCATCCACCTGACAGACAGACGGACATACAGACAAATACCGGTGCTCCCGAAGTATGCGAACCAAGATGGCGGACATCGGAACGTAACATGGGTAACAGGTTAGGGATAGGCCATAATTTTTTTTCCAATTTTCCTTATTTTAGTCCTATTATCAGTTCGAAGACTAGCCAAGAGCCTCCCATAGTATTTACACCTAAAATTATGGCCTAACCCTAACCTAGTACACATATTACATTCCGATGTCCGCCATCTTGGTTCGCATACTTCGGGAGCCCCCAAATACCTATCAACATACTTACCGATCAAAAGCAATAAGTAATAATTCATTAAAACTCACTCAGGAGTCATGCGAGCCCGCATCAGATGATAATGTTCCAATACTTTCTCTGGCACCAAGTTCAACTTTCTGATCGCATGTTCAAATACTTCGAGTCCAAAGTAACCCCGTTCCAAAACACATCCTTGGCCTGAACGTGTCGAAAAATCAATGAAGCATGACTAGCAGAATTTGTGAAAGTTAATAAAAGTTCTATTCCTAAAAAGTGGTTCATGTCGATAATTGAATTAAAGAAATTTTCTTAGAATATTACAAAAGAATAGGTTCCCGTTAATTTAATATATAATCATAGTTTAGACCTGACATGAGCCAAATCCGACCCGTTGGGTACTTCAATCCGGCCAGCCTGATGCTGTGACAACCAAACTAAAACCAAATTTTGAAGTTTTAGCTAAATATTAGCTCAAGGAATTTGTTGAACTTGCGATTAAATTTGGTTTTGGCACGATGCTTATTGATTTCCTCTTTTGCTTTTGTAACATGTAAATGTTGTTCATAGAATGTAACTTTTTAGGTCACACTTACATAGCCCGCGATTCTGAGTGGGTTAATTTTGCCCCCTTGTCCACCCCTGGTTTATACCATAAGTATTTTAATAGAAAGTCACAGAAGTTTAAAAATTACACTTTTTTCACATTTTTTCAAAATACCTTTTGGGGTTAAAGCCTCTAAATTGATAGTAATGCGTTATTTTTTTACATTTTTACAAACAAAACCCTGGACAAAAGCCACTAATACATAAATGTATTTCTGTAACGTTTCATCTGATCAAAATCAAGAGTTTTTTCAATCACTTCGATAACTATTATAATCAAATTAAATCAGCCTAATTGAATGAGATTCGAAACTATTCAACACAAGTCCTCGCAGTCCTTCCTCAATGCATTGTTGTAAACTGCTTGTCTAAGAAAAACTGGTCAGACAAAATGTTACAGAAATACATTTATGTTAGTATGCCGCAGGACTCTTGAATTGTGTGGTATTCAACACAACTTTGGTTTTCTATTTTGACTGTGTCTGAGAGACCTTCCTTCCAGAAATTTGATGATGATTATCAAAATTAAATATTTTGCCAGATACACATAATGTATCAAGTAAAGTTAGTATTTTGAATGAACAATTGGAGAAGGAATGCATGCGCAAAAGTACGTGTTATCAGAATTTACTCTTTTTTGGAGCCGTTTAGAGTCTAAATATTTCTCCACCTGAAGTTCTAGTTCCACTCAGTATCATTTGTTTTTTCAATGAAGGGGGGGATACTCCCGAAGTATGTGAACCAAGATGGCAGACACCGGAACGTAGTATGTGTACCAGGTTAGGGTTGGGCCATAATTTCAGGTACAAATACTACGAGAGTCACTTGTTTAGTCCCCGAACTCGTGATAGAACTAAAATAAGGAAAATTGGAATAAAATTATGGACTAACCCTAATCTGGTACACATACTACGTTCCGGTGTCCGCCATCTTGGTTTACATACTTCGGGAGTACCTTCCGGAGACTAGTATAAATTTTCCCAACTTTCGAGGCCCAGTTCAGAGACTTGCTTTTCTGTTTTGGCTTTGGCCTAGAAACCTTGCTTTAAACAAAATCTTGTCGATAAAAATTTACTATCTCACATATTGAAATTATAAAACTGGATGAAAAATGGGAAACGAACAGGGCTACAGAAGGTTTTTCATAACTTGTTTTTTGTAACTTTTGCTCATAGATTTGCTTTATGTTTCCGAGAGACCTTAATTTTGAACTAATTTTTTCGATAAAAATAGAATCAGAAGAGTCACTATCTTTAACATGATAAAAAAATAAAGCTACAAAAGGACATATGTCTGTATGTTGATTTATACGTTTCCGCTTTGGAAAATGAACTCAATACTACAAGAGGCCACTGATAAGGATCCCTACCTGTCCACAGAAGATGACACACAGCATGAGCGTATTGCATGAATCGAGCTGAAGTCATTTCCAACTGGTAACGTCCAATATGGGGCCAATCTTGTGGGTTTTTGTAGAAATCTTCCAAAGAAAGTCGAGTTATCGTGTGAAACAAATTCAGAGTCCTTTCGAGATGTTCGGGATGACAGTTGTGTGTTACTTGGTATTCTGGTTCGACAGACGGAAAATAACGCAGATCTAACTTTTCTGCGAATTCTTTTGCGAACGCCCCTTTTCCTGATTTTATATTTCCTTCGACAACGAATATTTTCGCCCATTTGTCATTGTCCAAGTTATGACGAATATTATTGAAATACTTGAACCTCACCGTTTGAATAAATTCACCCAATGTAGACCTTTCCGGAGTCGTGGTATGAAAACCGGCAACAGAAAAACATTTTGTTACACCCGGAACGCTGTTTTTAACAGCAGCGAGACCAGCCTGACGACATACCACACTAGCAATCATCCTTCTCGTTGGTGGCTAACGTATGTTTAGCCTGAACTTCACTTTTACATTTCAGAAATTAAAACTTAATAGCTGTGAAATTGAAATATTATAATTTAGTAGGATTTGACAAATTAAATATATTTTAAAGTGTTTAAATTAAAATTATAAATTCTCGATATTAAAACAACCCAAAATATTTCATCTGAAAATTCGTCAAATTGAACATTGATATTAGGCAATACAGTGTCAGTAGCAAATGAAAACTGTAGTAAACATTATAACAATAAGCGCTTTACATATATCAGAGTTAATCAACTATTTTCACCAAAGGTCCATTTAGAAAACTTCAAAGTTACTGGGGTCCGCACATTACAGAAAATTTTTTTCATTAAATAAACAAAACTTCAAATGCAATATTAAATTCAATACAAGAGCAATGAATGGCTCACAAATATGGACACAAATATCGCACATCGATACCAGCACAACAAACTGTATAGCTGTGTATTTGAATGGTATCAAAATCATCTAAAACTATAAAACGATGCTTATGTTGCCAAAATAAACAAGCAGACGCGATCCAAATTTAATGATTGAAAGGTGCGGATTCGGACCGCGGTCTGCCAGTTGAGTAGCCCTGTCATATATTATCATTTAAATTTGATTTGAGGATGTCAAAATTAGTATATTCAATATACTAAATTTTGGGAATCATTTAGGATACGTTCATTTTGACATCTGATGTCTGACAAAACAATTTTTCCACATTCTGACATTCAACCTATAACACTGGGATCTAGTGTAGTTTTGTACATAAAGTATTTTTGCTTAAAATGGGTTAATCCTAACCCCCACCTGACTACCTCATCCAAAAATAACATCACTTTGACGCCGCCATCTCACAACTGTCATACGATCACCCAAAATCGAACAAGGTAGTCTATTTCTCTCGTTTTCTTGTCACAACGATCCCGATATAAGAAAGATTGCTGTCGTTAGGGAGTTATACTTTGGCAAGCTCTACGACATGATTGTGAGGTCGCAGTCAGGTTGGAGTAGGATTGACATGTAAAAAAATTGTTATGGTACGTCCACTAGAAGTACCTTAGGTGCCTTAGAGACTACACAAGACAGTACGGCACACTTTCCAAATTCCAAGAATTTCTCTCCATTTGGTTCAATAAAACAAACACTCAACGTGTCTCACAAACGAGGGGCGCTTGGCACCACGTCAGATGCGTCATATCACGCCATGCTTGTCTCAATATTTATCTAAATTAATCGCGACCGACAGTCCGACACATGACCAAAATTGCCGTTTTTGCTAAAAACTCTCGAATGCCACAGTAAATTTTTTTTTCTTCGGTAAATCGAATTATTTTTTCCAGAGGAATTCAATGATGACGTTATTAGATTGCGCTTCTTTGTAGTATTTTGCGCAACTTCATTATACTGTATTTTTACCGATATTGAGGGACAACAATGTCCAGACCTCTCCCAAAGGAGGGGTGTCTGATCATTGGTAAAATGGGTTTCTCTGAAACGAGACAATGTAACCCAAATGTATAGTGTGCCATACTGCAAGACCCCAACACTGGAGGAAATTGACCAAGACAACGTTATTCCAACTATTTTTTCCAAAATTTATGGTAATTACTACCTATGAGTTAGAGATGATTTTTTAAAATTCTTTGCCAAACATAGCCACACGCTACAGTACCGGTACTACTGCACTCTACACTAGCAATCGTCATTCTTGTTGATGGCTAATGTATGTTTAGCCTGAACTTTAGTTACAGATTCTAAAAATTGAAATTAAATAAATGTGAAATCATAATAGTCTACAATGTTTGATACCGGTACCCTTATGTTTTGGAAAATTTGAGATTTCAATACAACATAGATTCTTGATTTCAATAATATTTTATACAATAAACATTTGAAAATTCGTTGAGCAAATGAAATGATACCAAACATCTGATAACTTTATACCTATTACCGGTACAGTACCGGTATTACCGCCTACCGGAACCGGTACCATACATATAATTTGACTTTGACCTGAGAATGTCCAGGGCGAACCCAAACAAGGAAACAACAATCATCACATTACTTTATGTTACCATCCAATATAATTTTCACTTTTCATAATCCAGTACCGGTAGGCTATACGGAACTCACAAAATACCGTAATGAAACAGCAAACGGAGGCATATAACTGAATACAGGAATATGAAATCGAAATTAAAACAAGAGAGCCACCGTAAAGTAAAAACGTTACAGCTGATATTAGAAGAATTGTACCGAATGTCATAAAAATTTGGGGACGAGACCGACGAGGATTTATCAAAAAAATAAAAAGTAGTTTATATTTTTTTAAACCATTCGAAACGTAGCCTATTAGTTGTAAAGAGCTATTTTAGGTAATTCCCTCTTATGACCCCCCCCCCCCTTCTGAAACTTGGTAATATACTGATTTCTCAAACTACTAGGCGCGGCGGTGTGGCTCAACGGGCTAAGCGTTAGGAATACGCTCGCCACCGCACCTCTAATTACTCTGCGTGGGTTCGCAGGTTCGAATCCCATGCAGGAATGGTTATGTGCGAGAGGATTGCTGGACTCCTCGCCGTCGTTGGGTGGTTCACGTAACCGCTGGCCGGTTATGGCTTCCTCCACCACCAAGTCCATGCTTCCGAAAACAAACAATATAGCTAATCCCATACCCGACTTGGAATGGTAACCAACCGGACGAGAGGCCGTGGTTCGCCATATGGATAAGCCGTTTTATCGGCTTTCCTCTCCCCCGGGATAAATATGTAAATCCTATCCTATCCCATCCCTACTATATTGTGCAAATAATAGTTGAAATATGGCATCTTGTGAGGGAAGCTTTTGCGACTAAAGCTAGAGAAATTTTGAGGTTGACATCGACGATTTACGAATATAAATCAAAAACTTGGCGATTTCCTTGAGAGTGAACCATGTAAAAATCAGAATTTTGGTGATATTTCGCATGTGAATTCCCTGCACGCAACGCTCACGAGACAATAATCATAATTCGTAGTTATTTAAAAATTTGAAATAAAACGTAAACATTAATTCATTTAATACAAAATCTCCATTTTCAGTTATTATTCTTATGTGTATCAATGCTAAGCTCTGTACATTTCGTTTCACATGTGGACCAGTGACAGTTCGAGCAGGGCTAGATTGTCCCTCTACTCATTTTCTGGTCTTTTTGTTTTTCGATTATCCTACAGGCAGATAAGTTAAGTTTGGTTATTGTCATTTTGGTTGAGGTGCGATAAAAAGAGAGTTCCCGTGTTTCTTCTATTCTCAATGTAAAGGGCGTTCCATACGTTTTGGGCTTTATTTGAAAGTTTTATTCGATTCTTGAATTGTCTTCCATTATTTGCGCTCAATTTCTTTTTTGAAAACTTTCTACATTCAGAATAATTTCATCGGACAGGGATAAGATGTGAACCTTTGATTTATTTTGCTAAACTGTCATTGTTGTGGAAAAATTGTTTTCTCCGCAATGAAAAAATCTAATTTGTTGTTAGTGAAAATAGCGCAAGTCGCACTGTCGCATATTAATTTTAAATTCTTTTCTCGAATCCTACAGCCCGATATTTCACTCCAAATTGTGCATTTTTAGGTTCACTGTTTCATGATATCCGGTACAATGGACCTTTCCCCGACCTTTGACCCCCGAAAAATTCTTTCAATAGTTTACTATTGCAAAATTTTCGGGGCTATTTTAAGAGTGCTTTTGCGAGTTGGCGCCTGTGAAATGGGGTATGTGTTTCAAACCATCACTATGATTCATCGCATACAAAAACCTGTTTTTTAAAAGTACCGTTAAAGAATTTTAGCCTAATCTATCACAGCTATTTCTACACTAATTTTTATTACTGCAATTAAATTGAAACTCATAGGAAGACAGGGTGGCCATTGAATTATCTGATTTACATTTAAGTTTCCAAAACATAACTGAAAACTAACGAATAGAGCTCAAAAGTGCGAAAACGAGGTAATGTTTACGACCACACTTGAAAATCTGTCTGAGTGTGAAAAGTGTCTGGCCGGATGCGAAAAGGGAGCATTGTTACATCACTTTTTGCAATTTGCTGATTGGCCAATGTCACGAAGTAAACAAGGAAGTCGATGCTCGGGGAAAGGTCCATTCATTGAACATTTCGTCGACATATAGTTTTATTTTCGTGTTCATATATTTGAGCGCGTGTCATATCTACTCAAAATGACGCCCATGGTAAAGTTCAAAAATGCGACTCCTTGGTGGTGACTAACAATAATATGGGGAGTGCAATGTAATGAAGTGGCGACGATAGTCATGAAAGCTAAGCAATGAAAAACTACACTGATTGCTAGATTGGGCATTGCTGAAAAGGTGATAAAGTGGTTTAGGTAAAACTATGACGGTAGATTCTTTGTACGGACACTAATAAAAACAATTATCAGGGAAAACACTGATCACACGTGAACAGGTCTGTAGCCTAATTGATATATTGACGTGGCCAGCATTGTTAAAACAGTAAACACACAGACAGAAAAACAAAAATAAGACAGTACGTTTCTGCGTTAATCTATTTAAAAAAATATAAGTGTGACGTCACAATGTGTTGCTATCAAAACATAAAAATTTAAATTTAAACAGGAATGAACTCATTTGTACGACTTTGCTTGGGTGAACGGTGCAACGAAAAATAATAATGAAACTAGTTCTTAGTGTGGCACTTTTCATTGCTTTGGCGCATGGGTGAGTAGTATTGGAATCTTTGGCTGTAATGTGTTCACTTTACGTAAAATTGTGAAATTGTTTGGCTCCGTTGCTTGGGTTATATTAATTTATCTTTTGTTTGTCAGTTTGCTCAAAGTAAGGTTATGACCTTAAATTAAAAAAAGTTAAGTTAAAAAAAGGTTCGAATCCCATGCGGGGATAGTTATTAGTTATGTGTGAGAGGATTGCTGAACTCCTCGTCGTAGGGTGGTCCACGTAACCGTTGGTCGTGACGACTTCCTCCACCATTAACACCATTTAGTCCATGCATCTGAAAACAAACAACTGGCTAACTAATCCCATACCCGACAAGCAATGGTAACCACCCGAGGAACCGTGGTTCGCCATATGATTGAGCTGTCCTATCGGCTTTCTTCTTGTTTATTTTTTATCAGCCAAAGGTCGACAAGCAAGTCCTTTACAGACGCACGCATGGTACGGGACTTTTCCTGGTCGGCCTTGGTAATAATGAGTATATCAACGCGGACTCAAAATGTCGTCTCTTCGGGTCTTTAAAAAATTGAAAATCAATTTTTCACTCAGCGCATCGGTAAAGACTGAACTGAACTTAGAACCGGGACAAATCATGGAATTGACCGGGTTTCATGAAGGAACAAGGGCATCTTCTGGACCCTCTGCCGCCAACATGCGACCATTGATTTGGGACGAGGAACTTGCCTACGAAGCGATGGACGATTCGAGAAACTGTTATAACTTCCCCATCAGTGTGAGTGTCCATAAGTAGGCCCTGTACATGAGTATAAGTTTATTTCGAATGCCCAAACCGATGTCGTGGAGTCGGGGAAAAAATACTTCTTTTCCAGTCTCTACAATCAGCCAAACTAAGGGCAGATTCAGCATCTTGGTTTCAAGTATCATGCCATCCCGGGGGTGATTATTGGGTACTCCCGAAGTATATGAATCAAGATGGCGGACATAGGAATGTTGGATGTATACCAGGTTAAGCCATAATTTTACTCCAAATTTTTCATTTTAATTCTATTACGAGTTCGGGGACCAAGTGACTCCCCTGGTATTTGTACATGAAATTATAGTTTGACCATAACCTGGTATACATACTCCGTTCCTGTGTCCGCCACCTTGGTTCACATACTTACCGAGTACCGATTATTGAGGCTAGCTTAGGGGTTGTCAACTTTTTTTTGGAATCCGTTTGAAAAACATAATAAGACTAAAAATGTTGAAAACACGTATAAATTTGAAGGTATAAAAAAAAGATTCTCACTTCAAAATACTTACGAGAACTGCATAAAAGTCGAAATTAACTTGTACATTAGTACAGAGATTAGCTTTGTAACCATCTTACTGGCTTTCCTCTTCCCGGTATGAACACGGAACCAATCAGGCTTAAAATACTGCAAACGGCCAATATATATATGGATGTTTCCCCGAGCATCGATTTCCTTGTTAATTTCCGTAACAATGACCAATCAGCGAAAAGTCAACAATGACGTGACTTATGCAGCCGCTCAAACACCTCGTTAGATATTCAAGCGTGGTTTAAACATTGTTTCGCTTTATTATTTCAGAAAGAGTCAAGGAAATACGGAGAAGTAGGAGTGAATGAATACATTTCCAAAGGACAGCTGGAGAATTTTTCTGAGTTCTTGAGAAAGACGTTCGATGCATGGGGAAGCGAGATGATGAATTATGACTTCTACAAGGCAACGTGCAACACGGGGTATTGTGGGAATTATACGCAGGTTAGTGAGAAATGGTTGTAGGAAATTTCGTCGTAAAAAATCTCGCCGCGGGAAATTTCGCCACATAGGAAAAATCGCAGAAAGAGCATTTTGCTGTAAAACAAAGTATTTGTGACAAAAACAGTTAAGTTTCTGAAGTACTTTTTTTATTTGAAGAAGATTCGTTATTTAAGAGCATACCCTAACCCTATTAACCTAACGGTTTTTATCACACATACTTGTTTTACAGCAAAATGCTCTTGCAAAATTTCCTGCGGCAAGATAGATTTATTAAAGCGATTTATTCGGACACGATGAGAAATGTCTAGGGCTGGACATTTTCGAATACCTGATGATTTCAGAATCGACTATTTTTTTTCGAATCGAATCGCGAATATTTAAATTAAATATTTAAACGACATAATTGTATGCGGCTTGTTTATTGTTATGAGCAAATAAATTACTGAAAACACAGAATCCATCACTCAGTCAGTTTGCTGAGTGTTCACACACGATAAGACCTCATGAGGAAGATAGAATCATACGTCAGAATTGTATTTTAAAAATATGATATGACTTTAATAAAAAACAAATTGAGGAGTTCACCTTGAAACAAGATGTCGGCGATTCCAAATTTTTGTCTGACACGATTCGAATAATTTACTATTCGATTCAAAATGCCCAGCCCTAGCTGTGACCCCATTCATCATAAACATTCCTATCATATATCTACGATATAGAAATGTTCGATCATGCTATGTTATGTTTTTCTAGTTGGAATGGGGTTAAAATAACTAAGGTCTATTACAACATGCATACAACCGAATCTTGAGAAACAGTTGGACGACGCGATAAAAATTTATTAAGACTTCCATTCATTTTATAGACCAAACCTGGGGTGTGCAACCTTTAATACGGAAGGGCCAGATACAAATAACTTAATAAAACGGCGGGCGCACCTTTATTTAACATAGGCTTTCTAGTGATTGCAGGCACAAAAACTTTGGTTATTGATCTTACGACTTTTAACATGCGTTGTTGACTTCGCACAAGCTAGTTGTTAGGACATTTTTATGTCATAGGCTAAGCGCTCAGTTATAGGCTTTGAAACGCAAAATGATTGGAATTACTTATATGTACCAGTTTAAAATAAATTCGTCTCGTCTCGCGCGCCGCACACCATTCAAAATTAGCCCTTATTCGCGGCCCGCACAATTGTTGTTGTTATTGTGGGCCGCATTTGGCTCACTAGCCGCAGGTTGCACGTCCCAGGACTAAACTATACATCATGTATATTCACAGCTCGTCTGGGCTGAAAGTCATAGATTCGGCTGTGGGATGACAACATGTGATGGAGTGGAGACCGGGGATGGAAGAAAATACGGAGTCGCTACTTTGTTTCTTTGCAGATATTACCCGGCTGGGAATGTTGAAGGTACTTGTTGCTTTGTTGGACACAAAAGTGCATTTTCTTGTTGTGAAAAAAAAAACTTTCTTTTTGTAACTAATGGAGCAATCAATTTCAATTTTTAGTATTAGAAAATTGAAGAAGTCAGTAGAAGTGTTTTGCTTTTCGATTTTTCTTGATTCACGATATTTACCCCTGGTCGCTGGATGCGACCCACCATCTGTCTTTGTCGTCGCGGTTGAGTGATCACGAACCGTTGATTAAAGTCGAATTCTATTAGGAGTTAGGAGCAGTGCGCCGGACGAATTTGTGCCATTTGTCCGTCACCACGACCCTTATGCATTCATTGACCCCTAACAAGCGCCTGCGTTTAATTTCCTTAAAACTTTCGTTTACGTTTCCCTTCAAGGGTAGCGACTCGAATGCGACCTCTCCTGGATTTATCTTTGAGGCTATGCTTGGGCATTCTAAATCTATATTTCATTATAAATTGATTTAAGCAATAACTGTTATTTTATGACCACAGGCAGAGCGCCATTCAAAGAAGGTGCGAGATGTTCCGAGTGCGATCTGACAACAGAAGAGTGTAAAGATGAGGCTTTCTGTTTCAGTCAGGCTCGAGATGGCGCTAGTAAGTTTAAAAAAAGACTTCTATTTTGTAGATATTTTAAGTTGTATAAACAGCGGCATACAATTTAGAAGATATAGGGATTATATATTTATACCAGAGGAGAGGAAAGCCGATAAAACTTAGTCGAGCCTGTGAACCCGCACAGGGCATTCAGAGATCCGATATCAAACGCATTCCCTGTGTAATTCGCTTACCGCTGATCCTGCGTTATTTGCTTGGAAAACGAAACCGTCGAACATTTTATGATAAATTGTCCCCGCTATGAGTTCTAAGATCACTTTTAATTAATCATTGCAAAGAACTGAATATATCCCAGAATTATATCCTTTGTTGAATTGCTCGAATAAGCTGGTGTATTTTCACTAAAACCTGTAGATACCTTGCTTCATCAACAACAGTGCTTTCTTTAGCTATTCTGAATTTGCTCTAGGCAAACTTACGCATACACACTCAAAAGTAAATGAGGTTTAGCTCCCTGAAAAGTTGTGAGCGGCCATGAAATGTAATTCTAACGCTGGCTCTGTTAACTTTTCAGGTCGTGTACACGCAGTTCACTTTATGACATCACTATGTCTTCCAATTCTGGTCGTCGTCTTCAATCAAGCGTGGAAACTGTTTTGAAATGAAGATTTTTAAATTAACTCTGTTGAAATGTAGACCCTAGCGATACAAATAAATGAATTAAATAACTTAAATGTGTTTATTAAGGGCTATCTAAGACTCGACGTCGGCCCAAACGTCAGAAGATTTGCGCGCGGGGCTCAATACATATATTACTATTTTTACTGCATAATCAGTGTAACGTGATGTGAAATGTTACATAGCAATAAGAAAACTTGGAATAAAGAATCGGGATAGTAGATAACCCCTATGCCAAGGATTTTTTTTTAAATTTTACAGTTCCAAAAATTTCATACGTGTTTGTCCCCCGAGATTGCCACAATCTTAACCTTAGACGTCGCTGGGTGAATATGGCGGATTCGATGTCTCCTTGACCCAAGAAGAGAAAATAGTCACTCAACCTAATGAAATTTTGAACATCCAACAACGAGCCTAAAATTAGAATTATTAAAGTTAACAAATTTCGTCGGATCTTGATAAAAAAAATGCATTCCTACATACAGGGGTGTGTCAAACTTTCCTGCTGCCGGGGCGAGTTTCTGATAATGCTGCATCCTATACCAAGCTTCAAAAATAATTCGGGGGATAAACAAATTATGTATGTTGTTATACATGAGAATAAATAATTTAAAGGTCAAATAAGAGTGCCCCCCCCCCCCTAGACCAGCGTTTCCCAAACTGTGTAGTGGCATTTTCGATAACTGTCGGCCTAGTTTTTTTGGCTGTTAAGTTCATTATCATGTTTATAGCAATCATTTTGGTTTTGCTATAGGCAAACGAGTAGACCTAAAATTAAAGGCAAAGGGTCAACTCTTCTTCCTCCATCTCTGCCTGGTTTTACTTTGAAATGCTGAAAAAATACTCATTTTCGCTAAACTCCATTAAGTAGATAAATGCAGCGAAATTGCAGCAAGTACTTCTATCTTCATTAGACGTAACATTAGAGGCAAACACTACGTAACGGAGAGTAAACGACATAGAATGGTAAAATGAATTTATTGATTCTTATACACACCATTTAAATTAAGAAACAATGAAACATTAATAAAAAATGCAACATGTACAATATTCAATCCTATTTTAAGTATTTTAACACAATTCTGTTAGTTTTCGCCGCGCATTTGACAACTTTTTCTTTATCAATTTTACCCTTTTATTTTTTGGTGTTCCGCGAGGCGAGATAAAAAGTGGAGGTGTTCCGTGGCCGAAAAAGTTAGGGAAACGCTGCCCTTGAGACACCCCTGCCTACATACTCGTTTAAAAAGCCTTAAATTACAATTAAAGTTGTGTTTGGATTTACATATTTATCCCGGGGGGAGAGAACAGTCGATACTAGGGCTGGGCATTTTCGAATACCTTGTGATTTCAGAATCGAATCGAATAATTTTTTCGAATCGAATCGAATCTCGAATACTTGAAAATATATAATTGTAACCGACTTTATTATAGTATAATTGGTCCTCTCAACAAATGAATTACTGAAGACATAGAATAAATCACTCAGATAGATTACTGAGCGTTCACACAGAATAACAAACACGTTTTATCAATAACTCACTACAGAAAATAGTCATATGTTAGAATTTCGTTGAAAAAATATGACTCCGATGAAAAAAAAATGGGGAATTCACCTCGACCATTAACGGAAAGATAAAAACAAGATGGCGGCGATTCGAAGTTTAGCTCTGAACCGATTCGAATAATTTACTATTCGATTCGAATATTCGATTCGAAATGCCCAGCCCTAGTCGGTACGATTGCCTAATCATATGGCAAACCATGGATTTTCGTTCAGTCTACCAGTGCATGTTGGGCACGGAAGTTGCTAGCCAGTTATTTGTTTCAGATCCATGGACGTTTCGATCCAACTAAATTCACGATAGCGCTTATACCTTATCATCTTATCCAACCCATTATTTCAACATAAATGTTTATATATGATATCATAACGGTTTTATATAAATATTTTATTATGACGTAACTATCTCATGAGAGTCGTCGGTTGTCGACGGAAATTGACCAGACATTTTTCTTTAACACCCGAGGGACGGAGAATAGCTTTTAAACAAAATAAGTTTGAAACTGTGGTTACAGCGTTACTCAATTTCTTTCGAAAGATTTATTTTATACATAAGAAGATACTGTTCTTTGAACGGATAAAGACCTTTCCTATCCAGCGCGTGTGATTTAGAGTTATTTTGAAAACTTCATCATACACAAAAATTAAAAGTGGAGTATTCCGGAAGCGAAAAAAAAACTAAAATTTAAAACATGAGAAATCTATTGCGTTAAGCTGTTTCCTTATTCCTTACCCGATATTTAATCTGAAAACTGAGAAAAATCTGAAAATTGATCACGAAATCGCTGAACTGTGATAACGGAACCACAGCACGGTGGGATTTTTTTAATTTAGTCATCAATCCAAACCTTAGAGTGAAGAGCAAATTCCATAAAGCACAGAGAAAGTCTTGAAATAATAAAAGTAATAGCCTTCTAGCGAAAAATACAATCTTCGAATAATGAAAATTGCCACGCAATTGATCCAGTAGTTGATGAGAAAAAAAAATGTTAGACGGTAACATCAAGAAGAAAAATACCAACAAAAACAACATCATAATAACAATACGACCCATAGGTCACATTTCGCGCCCAATAACAGGCAGCACGATGAACTTTTCAGTATATAACATGATGGTCCGTTCTTGGACGACGGTGAATTTTTTGTTCTGGTTTGAATCTGTCAGCGATCTCCAAATTTAAGCCCAACATTTTTTTTTCCCATCATGACTCTTATTGCTCTTTCGTTTGCGTTATATTTTTCAAATACGCGATTCAAATACAGTAAATATATAGATGTGCCTCGCCCCAAAGGAATCGGGGGTGTAACCAGGGAGGGGGATTTTAAGGGTCAGACCCCCCCCCATTTAAACAAATAATGAGAAATTCCCTTCCCCCCCCCCCCCCCCCTTGAATATTCCTGGCTACGCCTCTGAAGGGAATGTGGCAAGCACCCCATTAAAACTTGACCTAATAATCTTATAAGATATAGGAAAGGAATTCCAGGCCTTTGATCACATTTCAACGGCAATATTGGTATTAAACATTTTTTTTCATCTGCGGGGAGCGTAAAGTCGATGAGGCGCCTCATGTATAGTAAACCATATAATTCTAATCCTGTTACAAGTCCGGGAATGATTAATTTATATTCCATCGTTTCAAAGGCATCGTCTTATGATGGAACTATCCGTGACCGACCCGTGGTTACTAGAAATATTTTCGTAAGCAATTTCGTCGTCTAAAACAATATCTTAATCAATATACAGGATGTCCAAAAAATCGGGCGAAACTTTTTGGACACTACTTTTGGACACTTACAAACTTTTTATTTGAAAACGGGGTTGTTTTTCTGAAATCTCACATTTGCATTAGTGGCGGGAGCTTTGTACAAAAGATCCGAAACGTTACACATCAAAAGTAATAAGGTATAATGTTGTTAGAAGACCACACAATATAGCGGGTTTGATTCTTGCTACGGCCTTGCTATCAGTGCATAAGGATCTACTAATACCAACTCAGAGAGGAAGAAGCCGTAGCGCCCGTAGGTCCATGTTGACACAACCGGATCCTCAAATCTCATCCGTAATCAGTTGGTAATTTTTTTCACCATACTAAAATCCATACTAGAAATACAAATCATAAGAAATCATAAAAAAGCATTGTGGGGTGCGCGGAGTTGTGGGAAACTAATATTGGTTATCGAGCAGCGACACACATAAAAAGTCTAAAAGAAAATAATAATAAAAAGTCGAACCCGCGGTGACAAAAAGGTTAATATTGTTTCACCTCATCAAATTCTCTCTCAGTAGAAGCGAAATGGTTAATATTGTTTGTTTGATCTCACAAAAAAAATATTTCAAAAGTAACAAAAGGGTTAATCTTGCTTTTATTGGTCAAAATCTCTTCCAACGATAGCAAAGGGGTTAATATCAATAGGGTTCCAAATCGTGCATAATAAATTAGATTTCTTTTTTGACTGGGAATTTATCACCGTCCATGTTTGTGCCATAGATATTACATTATATTTATACTTAGTCCAAGTATGGATCATGTATATCATAGCCATGCATCGATAACATTGCGGTCGTACAAACATCCGGCGCAGAACAGACGCCGTTCGTGAATAATTTAAATTTTATTCGGAAGATGTGAAAGTTGAGTTAAGACGTGTGGAAAAAGTTGGAAAATGTTGTGTCTGTTTAATAACTTTTTTGGACACGAAGTGAGCCTATTGATTGAATAATTTGCTAAAGTCTTGTTTCTGTTAATGGTAACTATCGGTTGTGGTTGAGCGAGACTAAGTCTACCTTTCCTTGCCGTATGCAAGAGCGCAGCCAGGAAGGCCTCAAGGAATCCGAGAGCGTATAATGCAATGTTGCTATAGTGGAAATAAAGTGATTCAATGGTATTTCTTCCCGCTATTACGAATATATTTTTTCAACGGGTTGTTGTTTTTGCTAAAAAAAAGTTCTGCAAAACCTTGTCAGTAACGAAAGAAAGAATGAGGTAGACAAGTAATTGGAAAGTTTCATCGGCTATGTTATACCGTGTGCGTACATGGAGTTTGTCTTCACTTCTTTTTAACAAAAAAAGACAAACTCGAAAAGAATGTATTGATAACATAAATTGATGAACACCTCCAAATAGTATTTTATTAAAATACTTCAGTGAATTTTATTAATTAAGTTATTATTATTAATTATTATTAATATATTATTATATATATAATGTAGTTTTATGCAAAGTCAGGAAGTGATAACGAGTTACAAAATAAACGAAGGTGAGGAACTCAGCGAAAAAGATTGGAAACCACTGGCCTAACGCGATATAATTTTGTTCGTTTTGTCTACCGCGGAAAGATTAATAGCAGGTTTGCTCTCAACACATAGCTGTTATAGTTCGAAGGCCGATGAACGATATAAACCAGCTGATTTACGAGGGTAGTGTCGTACTAAGTTTTTGTGATTCGTTTTATGGTGCCGTTCAACATTGCTGACTTTATTCGGACTAATTAGCT